GTTGGGCTTGCCGAGACCTTGCCATTGTTCCTCTTCCTGGATGTATTCCCCTGATCCGACTTGTCTTCTTCTGCGTGTCTTCATCTTGCTGCTCACGATCCACTCCTTGATACCTCTACGCTAATTCGACACCTTCATCATTACTACCAGTGCGTGCCTCACATGTGTCTCCCGATATTATACAATGGCTACCAAGCTCTTTGGAGGATATCTTCTCTTCGCCGTTTTGCCTTTCGGGCGTCCACATGGCCATGTCTGGTTGGCCGTCTTTTTAGCCTCCACAATGCAGTTTTCCTTCATAAAGCAAAACGCTCATTCGTCCTTTTCTTAATCTATCTCAACTCTTTTCCAACTCTTTCTCCTTTCTCTACTTCTCCCAAACTCTTTCGGCTTTCCGCTTCCCCTTCGTGGATATGTCTTCTATTTCCAGCGACCCTTCTAACGGTAATGCCTCCCTCCAGTCGCAATATTTTGAAATGTCTGTGATGCATCCCGTCACTGAATTTGGTCCCAGACCCGAATCCACTCCCGCGGATCCGCCGACTAGGTTCATGACTATCTTCCTTTCTTCCGTCCTTGTTGGTTTCAGACGGAATTTGTCATGGCTCATGATCGACGTCTACCGTCTTTTATCCTTTGCCCCCAGTCAACTGAGGTTGCGCTCATGGATTCTAATCAACGCCTTTCAAGTTCTCTTTGACTTCTCTATGATTGCCCTCACCGGGGAGATGGTGTTATACGCCTTTTTTGCCACTCTCTAGGCGAGCTAACCCCGCAAATTTGATCTGATCCCTCGCGGGTGTGGGCGCTCCCCGGTAGCTCATCCTTCATGGCTGCATGACCACTCCGGCTACAGAGCCTATACTTTTGTAGAGTGCACTGGCGTGGGGATAACACGGTTGGAATGGGCTCCCTCTGGTAAGCTATTTCTCCATTCTCCTTCTGCTTTCCTGCTCTTCATTTCCCCGTGTCATATGTTTACTGGTGTGATTTTTCAGGCTTCATCCCGGAGAACCTAAATCTGGTTACTTCTTTCCCCGACGCTCTTTTTTGCCTGGACGGAGATTTAAGGGATCCTGCCTTTCTACTTCATCCCTGCATAGTAGATGACACTTTGCTTAACTCATTCCAGTCTCCTTTCGTTCCCCCGGTACTGTTTTCTTTTCCTGCTTCTTCTTATTCGCCTCCAATATCTTCGTCATCCTTTATAAGATTTTTCCCTTATATGGTTTTTTCCTCAGAGTCTCTAGATGCCCTGACGGCAGCTCGTTCTAATTACGACGGTCTTGCGGGCTCCGGCGATTCGCCGTCTCTTGATTCCCCTTCTCTTGATTCCCCTTCTGATGCCGATTCCGCCAGGAGGGATTCACCCCCTTCCTTGGGTAGTCCTTCCACCTCTGTGAATCCTCCACTGAGTACGCTATTCGTCCCTTTTTTCATTATTCTGGAGGGGTTGTCCACTCTGATTCTCCCGTGGCACTACATTGATTTACGCACCTCTTTCTTCCTAGCTTTCGCTGTAGGAGGCTTCCCTTCCTGATAGGGGAGGGGACGTCGTTATCCGAGGTGAGGGGTCATCTCCGCCAATGAGGAGGTGTTATCACAGTCTCCGCCACCCGTGAGGGTCTCCTTAACGAGGAAGCCCATCTACTCGAAGTCATTGCCTTGAGAGAATCTAGCCTCTCTGCATATCATACACATTTGGAGGATGTTCAGCGGATTCTTCGTGGTGACTACGATGCGGCCGGAAGTTGCGCGGCGAGCAGCTCGAGGGGAGTGAAGAGACCGCGTCGACCTCCCTAACTTTGTATCTCTTACATTGTCCTTGCTGTTGTCTTTTTCTGTGGAACCTTGTACTTGCTACCTGAATTTTTTCTTCACGCTTGTCGATTTGGATCGACATGTTCCCGCTACTCCTTTCTCTTTTCCTTCCTATTTTTTTTTGCTTTCGGTGCATCTATTTGGATTCTCGAACATAGCCGGATTTTTGGCAAGCTGGTTTGCCATAATTTTGCCTTTCCCAGTTTTTTGTGTGGGACTTCTGTTCTGGTGGGGGCTCTCTAGATCACCGGATTCTTAAGGCTTTTCTGTCTTTCTCTTTTGAGTTCATCGCCAAATGCTAGTTCTGGGTTATCACGCGGACCCTGGTTATCTTTCGTCATTGGGTTGTTACCCTCAGATCTGGGTTCTGTAGCAGACTTCTGACTTGGAAAAAGAAAATTTGTTTTGCTTTGAGAGTATTGCCCCGCTTCTAGCGCCAAATTGTTTAGGGGATTTTTGGTCCTCGAGTAAGGACAAGTCTTCTGCAAAACAGAAAAAAACGTTTTTCTGAAAGCCCTGAAAATATGATGGGGGTGTGTTTTCTGAAGGCCTTCCGACGCTCAAGTCAGAAAACAGTTCAAAAAGACCATAAAGTGGCTAATTGGAGAGCATAAATTAGTCGGAAAACTAGTGAAGGAAAGTGGACTGAAAGTCCTTGAGGAAGGTAGGAGCTGCTCGGGTTTTTTGCGGTGAAAAGAGAAGAAAAGAAGAGTTTGTGGGTGAAGATGTTCTATGGTTTAGGAACCGCCATAGAGGAGAAATGAAAAGGAATGACTAGAAAAGTGGTCGGAAAAGTATTGAGTACCTAGACTTAAGAACCACAAGTATCTAGAGAGATATCGTGAGACTTAAGATGGCAAAGAGAGTGAACCCCCTTCTCGTATACCAGGTTGGTCCATGGATGGTGAGTCCGGTGGTTCGGCCCATGACCCGATTTTACTGGGTTCAAATCTTGTGATAGCGTCATGCTTCTTACAGTCTCACTAACTTTCTTTGGCATGTTCTACCTGCTACAAGACCGTCCCTTGGCGCGTCTCCTTCGTTCTCAGTGTATGAGTCGGGTCGGCGGTTCAGACGCGGTATGGTTATTTGCTGAACCTCTGCTTTTCCTCCTGGCTCCTGCAAAAGGTCACTGTCACCTGACACACATAAGAAAAATGCATTAAATGTCATTCTCATGGGTTTGTAAGGGCATGAGTAATTAAATCAAACTGAGGCATATTCCTATCGTCGAATGGATAGAAATTTGAATGGTGTTCCCGTTTAAGTTGTTAATTCGTACTTGGCTTGGATCCCTTGATATTGGGACCGGACTGCCGCGGATGGATGACCTCGCTCTCCGGGTACCTGTGCGTGCCACACTTCTTCATATCCCGGTTCTTCTGGATCATCGAGCTAAGGTCTAGGACATAGAGAATGTGACCTCTTCTCCTCCTGACCACTCATTTTTCGACTTCCTTGTTTCTGACAGCGTGGTCTATCGTGCCGGATCTCCCGAATCCGAATGGATTCGAGGTCCGGTGCTATAAGCTTAGGTTCTAGTTTGGCACAAAGGGGCCATACTTGCAAAAAAACTATGGACACCACGTGCAAGCATGGAAGGATCGAATTTATCCCCAACAAGAGTCATACAATATGATAACACTCCCAAAAAATATAAATGACTTAATACACATACCAACTCATTTTTTAAAATTCAGCTCAAAAAAATATGCAGTATGTTATCGTAAAATTTATAACAATAACTGTTTTTACAAAATAATTGTTTCTGCAAAATTATTCTACTTAATTGAAGATGAAAAAATACTTCTGCGCTACAGTGCTGGTTAATCTTTAGTTTCAATAAAATACAAACTTTTGAATAATAATAGATTTTGATTAGATTATAAAAATAATCAAAGAAATAATTAAATAATATTATAATTCATAAAGGAATAACAGTGGAATCAAAAATGTAAAAATCAACAAACCAATAACCATAAAATCTTAAACTCTAAAAATCTTCATAAATCAACTTTTCAATTAAAAATAAAAAATTAATGATGTTGAATAAAATAAAAATAAAAATAATCTATGAATTTAAATCTAACAATAGTGGAGAGATCTACTCCTTTCCTTATATAAACGATGTAGAGATCTCAGATCTCATTCATTCATTTTTTTTAATAAAATTTTAAAGAAATTTCTCTTTTGTTTTTCGTGAAATTTTCTTGTTACTTGGTGTTAGCCATTTTTTCAATTCGATTTATCAAGTGTCACACAGCCTTCACCCAATTGTCTCGTTGGGACGTTCAAGTAGTTAAAAGGGCTTAAGGATTTTTGGAAACTCTATTCTCACGTCTTAATATCCTTTTTCCGCGGATCCAATCAGCCAGCTTAGTCACCCCCTAGTTCTAGATCTTTCAGCCAGCTTAGTCACCCCCTGTTCTAGATCTTTCACCACGAGTTTGGGTTTAAGGATCTTCGGGTTTCAACCCACCCCTTAACATCTTCTCTGTGAATCTATTTGGAGTCAAGGATCTACCAGCTAAAATCCGATCAAGAATGTGATAATCCTTGGGAGGACGTATCACCGAGAGAATGTATATATGGAAAAAAGAATTATAAAATATGATAACACTCCCAGAAAATAAAAATGACTCCATACACGAACCAACTCATTTTAAAAAATTTTAGCCCCAAAAAATATGCAGTATATTATCATAAAGTTTATAACAATAACTGTTTTTACAAAATAATTGTTTTTATAAAATTATTTTATATTAAAAAAAATTCTTCCGTGCTACAGCGCAAATTAATCCCTAATAAAATTATTAAAATAATAATAAATTTTGATTAGATTATAAAAATCATCAAATAAATATTAATAATATTATAATCGGTAAACGAATAACAGTAGAATCTTCTAAATATAAAAATCAGCAAAACAATAATCATAAAATTTTAAATTCTAAAAATCTATATAAATCAAATTTTCAATAATAAAAAATGTTAAAAACTAAAAAAATTAATGATGTTGAAAAAATAAAAATAAAAATAATCTATGATTTAAATCTAACCATAGTGGAGAGATCTTACCATGGTCTGATTTTAATACACGATATAAATTGGTTGGTGATTGGTGATTGGTGAGTAAGCATGCATTTGGTATAGGCGTTGACTCGATCCAAACTTCTCCGATGGCGATCACTGGCACCGCTGCTGATTCCACGGACGAACTACTCTCTCAGTGGCGGCCTCAAGTGTTCATCAACTTCCGAGGGGCCGATCTTCGCATCGGCCTCATCGGCTATTTGAAAGAGGCTTTGATAGAGAATAATATCAAGTACTATATCGACTCTGAAGAGCCCCGGGGCGCACCTATTGAGATCCTTTTCGAAAGGATCAGAGAGTCGCAAATCGCGCTGGTGTTCTTCTCGATTCGGTACGCAGAGTCAGAGTGGTGCTTGGACGAGTTGGTGGAAATTATGAAGAACATGGAGAAAGGCAAACTCACAGTCATCCCTGTCTTCTTCAAGGTAGAGCCAGGGGACGTGAAAGGGCAAAAGAAAGAGTTTGGAGTTGCGTTATACGGAGAAGGTCGCCGTAAGAGACCCAGGATGCCGCAATGGGAAGATGCTTTAGAGATTATTCCCACAAGAATGGGGTTGGAATTTTGGGAGCAAAGGTCAGGACTTTTTTTTTTTTTTTTTTTTTGGTGACCATCTAAATTAGCCATCGGTATTTCGGATAGTGAACTTTAGGATCTATTCATTGTTTGCTTTCTGTTTTTCTTTGATTCATATTTCAGTGAAGAAGTCGTTTTCCGAAACAAACTCATCGAGGCAGTCAAGGAAGTGGAAGCCGAAATTAAAAAAGAATACAGAGGAAGAGAACGTTCCTCTTCCTCTGAACCTATCAGACACCTTACCGGTACAACATTTCTTCCAGTTGCTTACGAGCAGCAACGCATTGAGCAACTGGAAGAAAGGTTTTGTTTTGATCCTGCCGTTACTCAAATTCTTGGAATTGTTGGTATGGCCGGGATTGGTAAAACCATTCTGGCACAAAAGCATTTTGATAAGTGGAAAAAGAGGTTATCAGTTCACCAGTGTGTTCTTGGTATCCATGAGAGGTCAAAGAATGAGGAAGGGCCAGATTGGCTCATTCAGGAACTTGGGGATAAGATTTTCAAAAAGAAAAGTTTCATTTTTCTGGACGACGTGAGCGAAGAGACACAAATAGAGTCTCTACTTAGCAAACTCCACCGGATAATAAAGGGAAGCAAGATAGTGATTACAACGCGCGACAAGTCATGGATCGGAAGGCTGGTTGACTACACATACGTGGTCCCTGGATTGAACGACAACGAAGCCTTACAACTCTTTCGCCATCATGCTTTCAGACACGAAGACGACACTTCATCACAGAACATTATTAAGCTGTCCAAGAAGTTTGTGGACTATGCTGGAGGCAATCCACGAGCTCTCGAGGAATTAGGGAAAGAGCTTTGTGGTAAAGACGAGGCTCAATGGGGAGAAAGGCTAGAAACGCTGCCACATTGCTGCAACGAGAATATCAAAAGAGAACTAAAAACCAGTTATGACAAGCTGACTGATCAACAAAAGGATGCGTTTCTTGACATAGCTTGCTTCTTCAGATCGGAAGATGAGGATTGTGTCACAAGTTTACTGGCTGCGAGGGAAATTAGAGATCTTGCCGACAAGTTCATGATAACTGTCTCTGCTGGCCAAATCGAGATGCCTCTTATACTGTGTTCATTGGGCAAAGAACTTGGTTTATTTGCATCAGTAGAAGACAATTTGGGACAGAGCAGGCTATGGGATCATGATACAGTTATTAACGCTTTGGTCCACAATGAGGTAAGAATCATCAAGTACAGAGAAAACATCAAAGACTCATTACTAACAAACTCAACAAAGAAACATCACATCTTTGTTTTTTCAACTTCTTTGTGATGTTCTTTCCTAACTTCTTAAGTTTTCTTAACCTGTTAACAGGAAGAAGACAGTACTGTGAGAGGTATCTTACTGGACGTGTCAAAATTAAAAGACGAAATCTCTATAGCCACAGACAAGTTGACCTTGATGCCTAACCTGCGGTATCTCAAAATCTTTGACTCTCGCTGTCCTCGGCAATGTAAAGTTGTTAACGTTGATGACTGCAAAGTACACTTGCCTGATGAACTTGAGTTGCCTTTGGAAAAGATTCGATATCTCCACTGGCTGAAATTTCCATCGGAGCAACTTCCATCAGACTTCAATCCAGAGAATCTTGTTGACCTCAGGCTGCCATACAGTAAGATTGAACGTGTTTGGGATGTTGTAAAGGTGTGTCTTCTTGTTCACTGCTAGATTTGATTATATGGCTAAAGTAACCTGTGAAGTTTTAGCTGATTGGTGGTTGTTTTCTGAGTTCTTGTCACAGGATACACCAAATCTGAAGTGGGTTGATTTAAGTCACTCTACAGAGTTGGAAGACCTGTCAGCTTTGTGGAAAGCTGAATCTCTTCAAAGATTAAATCTTGAAGGTTGCATTAAGCTTGAAAGTTTGCCAGAAGATATGGAAAATATGAAGAGTCTTGCTTTCTTGAATCTCAGAGGATGCACAAGTCTCAAGTCTCTTCCAGAGATGGAGAATTTAATCTGTCTGAAGACTCTCATCCTCAGTGGCTGCTCAAGCTTTGTTGAATTTCAGGTGAAAGCTAAGAATCTTGAACATCTACATCTAGATGGCACAGAAATCGTGAAACTTCCCCAGGAGATCAAGCAGCTCCAAAGACTTATTGTATTGAATCTGAAGGACTGCGTAATGCTGGACGGTCTTCCAGATTGTCTCTACAAGCTGAAGGCTCTTGAAGAACTGATACTCTCTGGTTGTTCAAGACTTAGGAGCTTTCCTGAAATTAAGGAGAACATGGAAAATCTGCAGATTCTGCTACTCGATGGGACGAACATCAGAGACGTGCCAAAGATATTATTACGCTGCGCTAACTCCGTAGACCAACTGAATTTCCAACGGTCACCCCAGATGAGTGGCCTATCCTTGTTGCGGCGTCTATGCTTAAGCAGAAATGATATGATCAGGAGCCTGCAATCTAGTATAAGTGATCTTTATCATTTGAAATGGATTGACTTGAAGTATTGCGAGAAGCTCCAATCTATTTCCATGTTACCACCAAATCTTCAATGTTTAGATGCGCATGGTTGTACCTCACTTAAAACAGTAGCGAGTCCGCTGGCCCGCCTTATGCCAACAGAGCAAGTGCCCTCCTCATTCATTTTCACTAACTGTGAAAAACTAGAACACTTCTCCAAGAATGAAATCACATGCTATGGTCACAATAAGGGCCGGCTCCTGTCAGAAACATTGAATCGTCACAATAAGGTATTTTTTTTTTTGCTAGAGCTTTACTCTATTTTGTTATAACTTACAAAGTTCAAAGACTTTGGTCCATAGTTTCTCAAGGTTTGGGAACAGTTTTTAATAATACTTGCATATCAGAGGCATAAACAATCCCTCCATACAGTGAGCTCCAGTTTATCTTGCAAGTCCAGAGTTTAAAATTCTGTTAAGTCTATTCGGTTTACTTTGCAGGGTCTGTCTTTTGAAGCTTTGGTTTCCACTTGCTTTCCTGGAAGTGAAGTTCCTGCTTGGTTTGGTCACAAAGCTTCTGGAGCACTGTTGGAGCCTGAGCTGCCTCGACACTGGAGTGAAAATGGTTTTGTTGGAATAGCTCTATGCGCTATTGTCTGGTTTGAAGAACAAAAAATTCGAAACAACAATCTCCAGGTGAAATGCATATGTGACTTCAACAATGTCAAGACATCCTCTAGCTACTTTAATTGCCCTGTTGGAGGTCTATCCGAGACAGGCGATGAGCAACGCACGATACATTCTACACATGTGTTCATTGGCTATACCAATTGGTTGAATATCAAGAAATGTCAAGAAGAAGATGGTAAGAAGGGATGTGTTCCTACTAAGGCTTCAATTAAATTTCAAGTGACTGATGATATTGGTGAGGTTAGGAATTGTGAGGTATTGAAGTGCGGTTTTAGTTTAGTTTATGAAACTGGTTCTTGGGAGTTAAGCTCAAGGACAGATGAAGGTGAATTTGAACAAGGTGAAGTTGAGTCTCTTGAGATGAAGGTTTCTAAAATTAAGATTGCAAATTGTGGTGCAAATACAATGCGCGATAATAAGGTCAGTGGTGAGGCAAGCCGTAGCTCCACACAGAGCTAAGTAACCTTAAGCCTCTTTTTAATCTACTTTTCTTCTTTCTTGTAACAAAACTTTGCGAGGTCTGATTGTTGATGTCATTTGTTGTACAACAGTTTGCTTCTCATTTCCCCATACTAAAAACAGAGTTGGGTTCATGAAAAAGAATCGCAAGCCATACTCAATATCATAGCAATCCAGCTCTCGCAAAACATAAATGCAAACAAACAATCGAAGCTAATACCATGTTTTGTAAAATAATAACATACAAGAAAAATCTGCAGCTGTTTTCTCATGAACTCGTTTAGTTGAAGAAACATTACAAAGCCCCGGTGCAAATATGTATGCGTTCATGAAGAAGAAGAATCTTAACCCTTCCTAGAGGATTTCAATAATACCAATGATATATATTTACATTATCTTAGTGTTTTCCATTGATGAACAATACCAGATCTCATCTTCTGACTCAGTCATGTCTCAGATTCCGGGTAGCTTTGATCTCTTCTGCAAATTCTTTAGTCATCTTCAAGAAACCTTCCATATGAAGTTGCTTCCATTCCTTTTGGAACAATACATACCAATTCAAACAAGTCATGATGAATCCATATAAAAACGAGCTAATCTATGAACAAGAAGGTTTAAGACATCTAACCTCGAATTCCCATGTACCGTAGAGATCAGGATCATCTTTGTTTGCCCAGATGTAAGTTTTTGTCTGAAGTTTCTCTGAGCTATCCTGTGTGATTGAACAAGGAAACAATAATATATCTATGATTTCTCTGCGTCTAAAGTTTCCAATAATCAGTAATACATGATCTAATGATTTCCACTCACTGTTAGCAAAACTTGGACGTTCTTTCTTTCATAATCAATATCCTCAAACTCATCTAAAATGTAAAGTTCATCATCTGTGATTCCAAATAGTACCTGCGATGCCAAAAACAAAAAAACCAGAAAGAATCAAATTTGCACAATCCTTAGGAATCTGATTCGAATCTTCATCGATCATAACGAAAAGAGAGGAAGAAACCTTTCCAGGGACTTTATCGGCCTCAGCAGGTAAAATCGCGGGATAAACACGTCCTTTGATGCTGAATCTATGGCTGAAAGATTCACAAAAACCCGCCATTAATATCGATTTCAACAACCACAAAATCGATCACAGAGAGAGAAGAAAAACGAATCTCACAAATCAGGGAGGATCGCGGAGGCGGTGCGAGGAACACGGTTGAGGAGCAATTGAACGACGTCGTCCGCCATGAGACTGCCGTAGACGAAGACACTGTGCATCGCCGCCGGCCCCGTAATACTCATCTTCTTCTTCGGCCCGACTATTTGGGAGCGGATATGCAACGTCTCGTCTATTTACAGATTACAGACAATTCTTTGGGCATTACAAATTAATCGAAAAGTCCATCATCTTCACACAAACATAAAAACTTAATAAAAAAATAGATTTTAACCAGTTGGTCCGCACGGAAATGTTTTATTTTTAATTTCTAATATAAATTATATTTATCTTTTTTTTTTAGATATAATTTATTTTCGTTATTTATTTTTTTAAATCAAAAAATTGTTATCATATTTTAATTTTAAACAGTAAAATTTGTATATTAATAGAATAAGAGTATACGTTAATTAAGTATACATTGATCTAATGTTAATTATAAACTTTGTTATTATGTGAATTTAGATTTACACATAAACAATCTATATATCTATGAATTTGCTAATCCATCCGTTTAGTTGTCTTAAATCATTTTTAATATCTTACATATTTTGACAAACTAACCCGTATAAGACTATAATTATAATTGTATAACCCTATAAATATTTACTAATATGAAATATTTGGACCAATTGATTATGAAAAAATATAATAAAATATTTATTTACTATTTGTGTTATTAAAAAAATGTATATATATATATATATACGGGCTAACATGTTAGTTTAATTATCTCAAATCATCTTAATATCTTACATGTTTTAATAAATTAACTCATGGACCTTATATATATATATATATAACTCTAATCAGTTCGATATTTTAGACTGATTGTTTATGATAAAATACGATAAAATATTTATTTACTATGCATTTTTATAAAAATATTATTAAAATTTAAAATTTAAAATTAAATCTCTCCTCTATTTAAGAAATTCTAAAGTATTAAAATTATTATCTAAATTTTCGTAATAAAATTTAATTATAATTTTTTTTGAATTTTTTGAATTTAAATTAAATTGAATGCAAATTTTTGTAACTAAATTTAATTAAATTTCTAATAATTTGAAATTTAAATTAAAGATGACCTAGATTTTAGGAAATCTAAAAATATCTAAATTAATAACTAATTTTCGAAAATTAAATATAAAAATAAAATAAAAATTTTAAAAAAAAAACTTTGGGAGTGTTTGGATGCAAGCACTAAATGTGTTTTTGTTTTAATAGAATATATAAAAGGGAAATAATGCTAGAGACATCCGGTTAAGGGGTGGGCAAAATTACCAAACCAAACCCAAATTTCTGAATATGAATCTAAACCGAATTAAAACAATATTCGATTGAAATAGAAACGTCTATACCGAATTATCCGATTCCAAACTAAACCAAATTCTTTTTACGACAAACAATTTTATTGAATTCAAGTTGGAATTACAAAGTTTTACAATACTTTTAAAAAACAACTTATTACATAAGCAGATATATACACTTTATAATGAAAAAGATATAATAAAAGAAGCGATTGTGAAATGTTTTCCGTAAACAAGTCTTATTCTCCGTATTTGATCTTAATCTGATGTGAAATGTATACATCGGTAGCTATTTTGTGCTAAACTTTTAAATTACACACCGTATGATAAAACCCAATGCTTTCGACCACTGTTCCGAAACTTGGACAATCTGACACCAATAGTTTTGTACCAAAGTCAGTTTAACAATTTTTTTGACTTTGGTTTTCTTGTATTTGAAATATTTTTTTATAATTTTCACTAGCAAAACCTTCCTTAGCATATTGATTCCATGTGGTTTCCGTTAGGGTTTTTGTTTCCACAACAAATCTGATAAATTTATTTCAAACATCGGTAAGCCATCATAGAATTATAATGGATACCGTAAACCACTCCAAAACTAATAATAAAAATTAGAATGGAAAAATAACCGGCAACAAACATCGGAAAACCACCGGCAGAAAATCTGAACATTACATTTGGGTTAGATAATTGGTACTTCTTACAGAAACTTGAAAGAGTTATTATCCATGTTGTATTGAAACGAGACGTACAAATACAAATCATGAATAATAATTCCATCGATGTTTTAAAAATCCCCACGAAAACCAGAAACGAAGTCATATTCGACATTGTGTTGTTGCCGAAAACCCAACCACTCCCAAATCCCCATCAGTCACCTTGCAGGGCAAATCCATGCTAGGCATAGCGGAATTCTGGCCAAAAAAGGGCCAACAAAACAGAAACATACTGTAAAACGATTTCATCAATGAGATTGGAAGGGAATGCTCAGGGATGTAAAATTGAAGGATATACTGATGAAAGTATGAATAAAATTGAAGGAATTTGATCTGAATCTGAGTAGGACAACTAGAGACAGTTGTGCAACCTTTCAGTTTTGTCCAATTGATCCTATTCAAACAAGATCTAGAGAGAACTATTAGTATGTACAATAAAACAATCTTAAAGAAATGACAGGAAAAAGGAAACGCGGGCGGCAGTCCTGGAAATCAATGGTGGCGACAGAAAGACCTGGCGAAGGCAGTTTCTCACAATCGCCTTTTGGAGTGACAATGCTTTAATTGTTAATTTTATCAGGATATTATTCACCAGAAGAGTAACTGAACCAAACTCAATTTACGTAAAACTATATAAGATTAACAAAATTAATCAAACTTTCAATTAAATATAATATTAAAATCTAAAATATTATCAAAAGAGTATTATCCAAAACCAAACTAAAACCAAACTGATTCGATTTATATTAATCAAACCATCATAAAACTTGCTCCCGAATGTTTCTAAAACTTAAAAACTGAGCAAACAAACTAATATTGTGAGTTGGGGTTAGTTTTTGCGGGTTGGTTTTTTGTTTCTTAGATAGTTTGGATTTTCAAAATTCTACCAAAACTAATTCTGAATACAAACTCATCAAAATTTTCAAATTTATAAACTCTTTGAACAACAAAAATTTATGCTGAATACAAACTCATCAAAATTTTCAGTTTTTTATTCTACCAAATACAACTTTCATTAATCAGAAGAAGTAGATGCCACATAATCTATATAAAGATGACAAGAGAGCCACATCGGTGGATACAAACAATTTAAAAAGAAATCAGAAGTCTGAAGTTGTTTAGCCAATGAGCTACTTCATTAAAAGCTCAACAGACATGATTAAAATGGACAAGTTGGAAAAGCTTCGGCCATCTCCAATTTCTATGCACAAGTTATGATTGGTATAGTCTTTTTCTTCTCTGTTGAGATAGGTAGTGTCAAAATTTTCAAATTTATCAACTTTTGAGAGACACAATTTTAAAATAGATTTGTTAGATCAAACATGTGTTTGTAATCTTTGAAATTATAAATACTTTGCGGGACATTTTTTAGTAAATAATATAGATTTGTTTATGTGTTTTAGGAAAATGAGAGGATAGTTCAAAATCTCATGTTCAACTTTTGTGCAGAAATCTAATTTTTTTATATAACCTTTTAAATCTTAAGAAAAACTCTTCCAAAATTTTTTTAGTATCACTAAAGTTTTGGAAAAGCATAATTGGTTCTGAGAAAAAAAAGAAGAACTCAAACATGTTAATCCTTGGAAAATATTCAATATTGACTGGTACAACAAAAAGTATCACAAAAAGTGATTAAGTTTTTTTTTTAATCCTTTTGGCTACTCTAATCCTGTACAACTAAACCCTTGCATTGTTGTATTAGTTGAGCTCCACATGGTTATTTTTTGTTGGGATAGCTTCAACTTTGATATTCTCCGCTCGGCAAATACGCCCGGTTTGTTGTCCATCACCTGGTCCAAATGCAATCATCTCTTCAATAACAAAATCAGGATTCAAAGTTTTCAGGACAGCTTCGATATGTGGTTTTAGCTGCAACATGGGATAATTATCATCTATCCACATGTTTTGGTAATCCCATGCAACAGTGAATCCAACACCAGCGAAACTTGATGAAGCATTTCTCGTCATTGTATGGTGAGGAATGTAGCAAAACACAATTATATCTTCACACCAATTTACATAAAAGAAGATTAGAAACAAGTTAGGTAATAGATTGAAAATCATAGAAGATGTTTAATCTATTTAGGGGTAAAGGAAGATTACGGTAAAAATATATATTTTTTTGACAACCAAGCAGCATAAATAACTAACTTTCTAATTTCATGAAGAATGTACTATTTTTCAACTACAAATAAGCCGGTCGCTTGTGAAGCCACCATTTTTCTGTTACAAATAAAAAAAACAATTCAAATAAACAAAATAAGATATCTCAAATCATTTTTGCGATTTCTTTGTATAATCTAAGCTATATTCTACTATTATCATCAGTTCTATTCAAAAAGAGAATCTACAGTCGAAAAAATCAATTCAGAAACACACAAACAAAAAATCACAATATAGCAGTACACGTGAAAGATGACGAAGAAGATGATTGCAGTTGAAAAAAAGACGAAGAAGATGATAATTTTGCCTTGAACAAGTTTTAAACAATTTAGGCTCCGAATGGAGAAAGCGAATCAGGCGGTGTGGATTTAGCGGTTCAAGCGGATCAGACGGATCACGTGCGGATCATGCGGATCAGGCGGAACAAGTGCGGATCAAGCGGTTCAAATATATTGTTGAATGAGAAAAGCGGTTCATAACATATATTTAAGTTAAATATTAATAGAAAAATAGTTATGATTATAAATATGAATAGTTATGATTATAAACCCTTTTTGGAAAATATCCAAAATTTACTGGTATAAAAAACAAATATTACATAAAGTTAATTAAGATTTTTTTTTATCTTTTTGACTACTCTAATCATGTACAATTAGATCTTTGCATTGTTGTGTTAGTTGAGCTTCACATGGTTGTTTTTTTGTTGAAATAGCTTCAACTTTGATATTCCCAGGTCGGTGAATACGCCCGGCTTGTTGTCCATCACCTGGTCCAAATGCAATCATCTCTTCAATAACAAAATCGGGATTCAAAGTTTTCAGGACAGCTTCGATCTGTGGTTTTAGTTGCACTATAAAATAATTATCATCTATCCACATGTTTTGATAATCCCATGCGACAGTGACTCCAACACTAGCGAAATTTGATGAAACATTTCTCGTCATTGTGTGGTGAGGACTGTAGCAAAAAATAATTACATCTTCAGACCAATTTACAT